TGTTCAGTTCAAGTTTCTCGGCTATGTGAGAAGAACAACGATATTAAAGGAAAGATGGGAAAGAGTCACAGCTATGGAGAATTTTAAGATCAATTTCAGGGAAAAATATCAAACTGGTCGAACTATTAATTTTTTTGTATGTAAATAAACATACACCTTTAAAATACATGTACCGGTATTAATAATTATATGATTATCACTGACCCAACACAATGCTAAATTTTTCAACAAAAAAATATAATTGACCCGCGATCAAAAAAGGTTGCCGACCACTGCTCTAGTTGATAATATAATCTAGTTTACAAAATTGATATCTTAAGTTCTTACACTGAGTAATACCCTCTTAATCTTAACTATTTTCAGTATTTCGTTTATCATAAAATAAACGGTTCAAGTGTTTAGGTTGACTATAAACTACAATAACATTCATATTATTTACAGATGTTTTTTAAAGTGTTAATTGTAAAGGAGACAATCAAAGTCTGCACTCTTTAATATTAATTTGTAACCTTGGGATATAGGTATTAACGACCAGTAACACTTCTGAATGATCATTAGCGTGAAATATACTTTTGTAAATTAGGCCATCTGGATAACTTATATTAAAAATAAACAACTTTTTCATTGTTTACCATATGTACCATTCTCTTTACTAACATATATATATGATATGAAATTCGTCAGTTTATAAAAAAAAAAATCACTTTTCAAAGAGCCATTTTCAGATATTTAAATCAATACATCCAAGAAATGTATTGTTTTATAAACCTTTTCAACAGTGAATATAATGTTTGAATCTAAGTCATTTAAAACTTGACTAAAATTAAACTAGTTTAAACATTTATTCCAAATAATAAAACAATCAATGTGACATCATGTAAGAGCTAACGTTTGGCTTCATTCTTTGATCAACAATGGTATACGTCTTCTCTTTTAAGAAATACCATACTAAAATAGCATAGGTTGGTGCCGTTTTTGTACCAATGGCGGTTCCTCTTATCTGATGGTAGTAATTATTATTATATATAAACTGATTATTAACCAGTAAAGGTAGGTGCCATTTTTGTACCAATGGCTGTTCCTCTTGTCTGATGGTAGAAATTTTTATTATATATAAACTGATTATTAACCAGTACCAATTTCACAGCTACAATTAAAAATTTCGTAGTAATTCTGGAATGCAAATGTCCTGGAGAACTTTCACAATAATAATTAACAATTGCAATGCCAAGTTAGTGTTCAATATCAAGATACACGGTAGTGTGTCGTGCGGCCAAAACTACCTGCTGCAGGACACACTGTGTGTTTTTACCAGGATAATTTGAGATTTTCCACTTTCTGTATCTCGGACTGTGGTAATCTAAACTATCACATATTTCAGTGGATGTGTTCTACTGGATCTTTACTTCACATACTAAATTTTAGGGCAATCCATTAAGAAATAACTAAGATACATCTCCAATTTTGATTGAATTTCTTCCTCCTTTTTTTTTCTTCGCACCAAACTACGGAAACTTTATTTTACAGAAAAACATACTTAACTTTTATGGATTTTTTTTTCAAGTTTGGTACGCTGATAGATCTTTTCAACCAAGGATTAGGAGTCTCATTTGGTGTAAATATAAGCCTCATGTGCAAAGTTATTCAACAAAAACTGCTCAACTTTGACGAAAATATCTGCGCACGCCTACCCAAAAAGTCACGTGAGCTATTGGTCTAACATTTTTACTACAGCTTCACCTAAGAGTAAAATTGACCGTTTTTAGTTTTTTATCATTGGGATTAAAGACGGCTGACTTAGAGCAGAAAAACTATAAGGTGAAAGGACGTGCAGATACATCAGTATTGGTTAAGCCAAGCAAACTAGATTAGCAGTTTCTAGTTCAAGTTTTCAAAATAATCATACCGGTGGACAGATATTATTAATTATTCATTGCCAACTTTTGAACACAAATTTACTAAATTCTATGAAATTCTCCTAATTAAATTGTGTTTAGCGTCACGAGATATTATCTTAAGCAATTAGCATAAATAATGATGCTTGATACGCGTGTAGCGATTGCTTGGGGTGATGACAAGAAACTGTTAATCTAAATTTCATGGTGTTACTATAAAAGAAACTATTAACACTGTTTTAAAAAGAAATAACTACCACCATGTATTTTAAAGAATCCGTTTGGTACTCTAAAGTAAAAGTCTTTTTCGAATAATATGATTGCGATCCTAAAGCTAATGTGGGTTATTATCGAGTGTCACTTTCTTACTTGATATCTTACTTTCATGATATCTAACAAAAACACCTTAAGTGAAAAATGTGCGGCTAAAAATGATTGAGTATTCAACTTAAAAGAATGAAATCAAAATTGTCGTCCAAACTGATAGCTACACTTATAGCATTGATAAGAATTTTACAGCAAATATTCATTCATTAGTTAGCTAGGCCGCGTATTTTGTTTTACTCACCATCATGCCCC